TAGGGAATGGGAGAATGATATATGTCTATGTTTCTCCCCCAGGAAATTTTGCGAAGATATTGTTATTCTGACAAACATATTGGAGAGATGTCAATATGCCTTTTGTGATAGGGGCTTAGCATTTATACTGTGTCATGCATTTTAAACTGGTGTGATGGTGTTTTATTGACAAGAACATTGTATGCTTTACATAGCAGATTTTAGTCTTTGCATCCAAATAAAAGCTTGGAAATGGAAGATCCTATCATCATGAAAACTGACTTAGAACTTTTTAATGACGATTGTGATTTTAATGACTTTTCAAAACACGGCTATATCCCATGACTGTTTGGGGAACGGTTGTGCACACAGAGTGGCATGGTGTCGAGCACGGAGTCTCAGTGGACTTCATAAGAAAGCTCACACAAATCCATACTCGGGCAGCACAGATGTGACACTCAATTCCTATTTCTGGGAAAATTTAACCTTACAGATCTTGATCCAGCTCTTTGCTAGGAAGCCCTTCAGAAGGTGCAGAATGCGATGTTCTCCCATATTAATTTAATTAATAGAAGAGAAAATCCACCTGGGCACTTTGTGCTGACTAAGCATCCAGTAGTCTGCTTCAGTTTATTCTGGCACAGAGTCAGGTGCACGCTGAAATAAGTGGCCATGTTTCACTTCCATTATTCCCACAGCGTAGCTCTTTAGTACACAGCACAGGTTTTTCTGGGACTGCCTGTGGACCAGTATCACGTAGGGCATCGTAACACCTGTCTAGTGTGTTTTGTATCTGAAGTGAATAAATACAGAAAAATCATTATGGAATAAAACATTGATAGGAGAAAACAAAGCTTATCTGCCATCTGTCAGCGCTCAAAGTTTGAGCTCCTTAGTAGTCTTTTGCTGCGTATGCCATCCTAGAGATGAAGCCCTCGAGAGATGCAAGAACGCCTAGGAGCAGCCCACCGGTCTGTACTTACACCTTGCTTATGCTGTAGAAACAAATGCAAGTTATAGAAAATAATCATCTTCATTAACTTATAAACTGCATCACGTTAGCATTTCCTTCCTCTGCTGCAATGGCAGCCACTGATGGGCTTTTGGGTAAAGCTGTCGTTTCTCTCTGGATCATCACACCTGAGCTGCCTCCCTCCCGATGTATGCAGCCCTCCGCCTCCAAAAACCACCGCTCCTCCACCAGTTGACCTGGCAGAGGTGGTATCAAAGTACTCAAAAGCCCTTTTTTTCAAAATGGGGCTATAGCCATCCCTGCCCGCCTCTGGGAGAACCCATTGTGAATATGTCTCTGCTGAGAATTGTCTGAAGAACTGGATTTGCAGGAGCTAAACAGATAACAATTTAGCTCCCTAAAAAGCATGTTAAAAAGTATTAAATACTCCTTTTCCTGTTTCTTAAGCAATGCGTTCCTTTGTATTTGTACGCTGTATCTATTCTGGTACTTGAAAAAGCAATGGCATTATGACATTACAGTTCTTAGGAAATCAGATTTTCCTTGTTTATGGCTCAGGATGTAAATCCCGACAGATGGCAGGGATCGGTGGCCCAGCTCTGTTTTTCTGCTTGTTGCAGTTTCAGCTAGCAAAGCAAAGCTTGCTCAGTTAGAACTTGGCTTTCAAGTGTGTTAAAATTGTCTCCAGTTTTGCACAGTTGCAATCTGGAGCTCGGGGAGCGGGCTGGGTTGTGCGGCGCAGGAGCTGAAGCTTGGGATAACAGTCATAACACTCGGCAGCCTAAGTTTTAGTTTCCCAGTTGAGCAGCTCCGGGGATCGAATCACCGATCCGTGGGAAATGAGAGCCGAGTTTTAAAGCTTCTTTATCTTAAATTGTTTGCCAGTGAGGCAAAATGTTCTACCTTTGACATTTCTGAGAATTTGGAGGTAATGGTGTTTCACCAGCTTCTGCCACAGCTCTTCTGGGAGAAAACTGTCCCCAGACGCTTTCCAAAAGAAGAAGAGATATGGGTAGAGGCACTGGATGTGTAAAAATCCCCCAGCACTGCAGTGGGAAGCCTGCTCGGCTCTGCACCAAGAGGAGGACACCTGGGGGAACCCGGCCGGCCTTACCAAGGGCTAGTTTTTATTATTGTTTTTTCTTTGTTTCAGACCCTGTAGACAGACAATCTCTGAAACGCATTCAGTGCACTGTTAATTTGTGTAAATCAGCAAAAAATTGTTTCTCCTTCTCTATTTTAAATAGCAAGTCAAAGGTATTTGTACTGTTTGCATGCCAAAATACAACATAGTTGTACACTACACATCGCTGCGTGCATTGAGTATTTTCTCTGCCTCCTGATGCCAATTTTGTGTCATGAGACGGAGCAAATAATTTCCTTTCGTTAGAGCTTTTCAGGGCAGCCCGCCTCGCGGAAGGTGATCTGAGAGACTCTGATTTGCTTTGCGTAGGAGACAAGGCTGTCCAGGCAGCTCTTACGGGTTTATCTTCGCAGTGGAGCGAGGGAAGCTGACTTTGAGTCTGGATAAAATAATAAGCCCAGCCAGCTTCTTAAAGAGAAATGTCAGATGACTTCGAAGAAATTAAATCTTTTTAAGTGGGCATGCTTTCTAAATAGATTGAAACCTGCCTCTGATTCTTGATCTTCTTATCACCATACAAAATAGGCTTTTATTAATTATTAAATACACTGGTCATTGCAGTGGAGTGCAACAACCAGGTAAGGCTATCTCACACTTTCCAGTGTGTCGCTTATAGGGCAATTGTGGCTGTCATTTTTATTATTGGAAAAGATGGGGGGGGGGGGTTGGAATTATTCAGTGACACCGGTGAAGTTGAGCAATAGTTGCCTACAGGAATTCTCTGAGCTGTCTGGCTTGATCAATAGGATCAAATTCCATAAGAGGCTTCAGCAGCAGTTTATTACTTGTGATGATATTTTCATTGAAGGAGCTAGGCAAAAAGCTCATCATGTTTTTATTATATTCTCAGGTACCTAAACAGAAAAGCTGTTTTTAGCAACTGGAAGTGATAAATTGGATAGCCACTTTACTTTGACTTGTTGGCCACCAAAGCATAACATGCTACATATAAAAAAATATGCTGCTTTATACAGTCATATTTGGTTTAATATTTGTTTAGCAAATTTGAAGACTTACACATAATTGTCAAATTAATTTTTTTTCCTCTCTGTTGTGTATGTGAAGTCCGTTCACAGAGTGTAACTGTTCACAACCAAGCGTACATCTTTGTGCTGAGGGCATCCTGCGTTGGCTTAGCCTGGTCCTACAGAATCTAATGCAGACAAAATGGAGCTGGAGCCAGGAGTATCTCCAGGGTGCTCGCTGCAGCCGGCTGTGGAGGACGTAGGGGCTGCTGCCAGAAGTGAATGATAATTAAGCACAATAATTTTTTTACCTGTTACTAAGAAAGGACATAGATCCACTGGTGCTAAATACTCATCAAACCACTGAAAGCAGGACAATTTCCACCACGTTCCTGGCTCTAGTGCAGGAAATGTTTTCTCTTTATTATTAGTGAATATTAATTCATGTATTCAATGCACTTTCAACTGTGTTTCAAACTTTAACGATGCACTCTTCTCTCACTTGACTGTCTGGCCTTTTTCTGGGAAGTGCTGTTGACTAGCTGGCTTGAGTAAACTTGGTCATCTATATTTATTAGACTGTAATGAAGATACAAGTATTTGATTTAGCCAAACTTACCCTCCGGTTACACTGGTATTCACCACACCGACAGAACAAAACAAGTGAAAAAACAATTAACTGGACAGGTTTTTTCAGTGCAAAGGCAGGTTGTATACATCCCATCCCTAGTATCTGTTAAACGTAATTTATTAGGATTAGATTGTAAAATGTTTATTAAATGTTGTTATTTGGATTTTACTGGGTTTTTATTTTGCTCTAGAAGTCGTCACATTGGTTGCAAAGGTTCATTTATGGCAAAGGCATATAGAGCTCTTCTGGTTATGCATTTTGAAATTTAATTAATAATTACAACAGCACCAGAAAACATACCTTGCTTACAGTTGCTTTGTAAGGACAGATGCTTTGAGTTATCGTGTCTCAGGGTCTAAAGAAATGGGAGTTAGGTAAGTCCTCCAAGTAGAAGAGTCCTGACTTTGGTCCTGTGGAAGAACACGTCCTTTTTTAATGACTTGCTGAACCTACGTTTACGTGCCAGATGCATGCAACTTTTCTTTCCATGATCGTTTATATTTGGGAGCAAACTGAAGTATGAACCACTGACAAGATGTAGCATCGATGATGAAGTAGGTGGAGGACAGTTGCCCACAACAGGCGGGTGTTAGAAATGCAATTGCCGTTGCAAAATGGAGTGGCGGGGAGGCTCTCGGTATGAGGTACGCTTTGCAAACAGATGGTCCAACCTTCCCGTTATTTCTATGGACTGCTACAGCGCTCACAGTTTTGTTTTCCCTGCAATTGCTGTATTACTGTAACTTAGTGACTCACTTCTCATGGGCCTTGGGAAGACAAGCAAAGACGACCAGAAAGGCAACAGTGCATAGCTGTGGTTAATCGCAGAGTTTTACAGTATGAGTTGGTTGTATTCCTGTCACTTGAGCTAGAGTGAATTTCCTGTGAATGCTAAGTATACTTGAGGAAGGTAAAATAATTTTGTTTAAACATTGCTTCTTGATTTATGCCTTGGGGCCAAGAAACATGAGCCAGTATGTGGAAAAACTGTGAAAGTTTAAAAGGAGAGGAGAGAATGAATGAAAGAAAAACCTTCATCTCTTGTCCCAGACCTTCTTAAGAAATCAGCGACTGGCTTTTTAACTGAGGGCTGAGTCTCAGGGGCAAGCACGGGCAGGAAAGCTGGACTCTTAAGTGGTATTTAGCTGAGCGCGGCTCTTCTTTTTCCTCCTGTATTTCTCACTCCAGAGTAACGCAGAGGAAGTCCTCTGTCGGCTCGCGTTTAATTTCCCTCGTGTTACCCTTTCCTAAGTTGAGTTCTTACCTCCGGGAGGGCAGCGATACTCTCAGCCTTCCGATCCCGCAGCGAGGAGAAGGAAACCAGCTAAATGAGCAAAGGCAGGAGGAGCTGAAGTTCAGGATTATTATTTTTTTTCCAGCAGACACAGGCACTTTGTGACATATTTTTCATTTCATAAAATACCACTTTCAACAACCCTCCGTTATATAAATTGTTGACTAGTTATTTGTTTTCAGAGTTCGTAAATGTTTCCAGTGGTCTTTTTCCATTTAAGTTGTAAAACTCTCTCTTAGATATTCAGTTATCTCTCTTCTATCTCATATTGTGACTCATGTTCTCTGAGTCATACGGTACCTACGTTTGATTTGATGGGTTCGGATTGCTAAAGAACCAAGTGCAATGCAACCAAGAGGAGCTTTTTTTATACCTTAATAATATTTTATTGTTTGCACAATTCTGAAAGTGTAATTTCTAGCAAAATCGCTGACTCTTGAGAGAAATGTGAGGAAAGTACATTAATATTTGTAACCAATTTCATAATTATACAGTGGATGTCTTCCAATAAGCGTAGTTCGCAGGTTTTCTTCCTTTTGGGGCCAAACATGGTGCTTATGCCTTAGACACGTTTTAAGCACATAGTCGCATTTTAAGACTACCTAAACATGTTTGCAGTATTTGTCACACCCACAAAAGATGAGTACGTCTTACGGTTGATATATTGTCTGAAGTCTTGTCTGTCCTTGTGTGCATTGACTCTGTTGAACCCTCTGTATTGAGACCTCTCATGGCTGGACACCTCTTAGGTAGTCCTCCGCATGCCTCTGTTTTTCCAAGACCTACGTTGACCTAGTGACTTCTTCCCTTGAGAGCTGCAGCAGTGTTTCCTTACAAGACTCAGACTTGACTGAACTTTCTGGCCCAAATCCTTGCAAAATCTAACTTTGTTCCATTTTTAAATTCTTTGATGCTATGAAAGGAGGAGGAGGAGGTTGTCTTGGTCTTTGTATTTGACTGTGCTTGCTGTTTTGTTTCGAAGGTGTACAAGGGAGAAGAGACCACATTCCACATCTCAGGCCTTCAAGTCAACACAGACTATCGCTTTCGCGTCTGCGTCTGCCGCCGGTGCTTGGATACCTCACAGGAACTTAGTGGACCTTTCAGCCCATCCGTTGCCTTTATGCTCCAGCGAAATGAGATCATGCTTGCAGGAGAAATGGGAAGCATAGATGATCCTAAGATAAAGAGCATGATTCCTACTGATGAACAGTTTGCAGCCCTCATTGTTCTTGGCTTTGCAAGTTTGTCAATTATATTCGCCTGTATATTACAATACTTCTTTATGAAGTAGAGAATTCAATGGAAGTTTGAGATACAAATTTAACTAATGCTACGCATTATAATCCACACATTTATTCAGATATTCCTTTTTTTGAAATCCTTTTGTTCTACCATACATTTTATATACTTCTCTTGTTTTTACAGTTCTAGCTTGAAGAAAGATAAATCAGTGTTTTGATGCACCTTTTTGAAATTCAAAACTAGGAAGTGGTCAAACTGGAGAAACAAGCAAACCAGATACCAAAAGCAAGATTTATTTTTTCCTTCACAGTTTCAAAATTGTCACCAATTTGCCTTTTAAACGTCGTTTTGGTTTTTTCACTGAAGTTCTTACAGTCTCTCATTTTATCTTACTATTTAGGAAATTTTAATCATGAGTCACTTTTTTGTCTCTTCTTTTTCCTTCTAAACATTAGTCACAAGTGTGTATAGTGGTAAGACTAGAATGCAGTGTTAGTCAACAGTACCAGGTTTTTTTCTTGAACAGTATTAGCAATGTTGCCTATGAATTATTCACTACATTTGCCCCCGTTTTTTCAAGATGAAACCTAAGTTGTTATTTTAACTGTTTAGTGCATTTAAATCGGAACAATATCCTGCAGTCGAAAAACCTTTCTAATATCTGTTATTTTTATAGTTACAACACTATAAACTGCCTGTATAAGAAATCAAATAACCAAACTGCATATAAATTATGAAGCATTATAGATTTTTTTTTTTACCATTTTGATTCCTAGCAGTAATTTTAAGAGGGCATTGTGCAATAGTTAGTTATCCCCGTGTTCAGCTATTAAAAAGCTGCTTTAACTTGTCTGTTCGTCACTGTATATAACTACTCCTAATCTAATACTAGATATTATTCTATTATGTTCAGCCTGATTTATATGATTACAGCTGGTGACAGCTTACTGCCTCTACTGAATTAGGTGAGTTTTACACTCGATGTAAGCAAACTTTACTGTCAGTTCATCTTTTTTTTTTTATTATTATTTTTTGGAGGGGTGTCCATTTTATGGAACTTTTTTGGAGGTATCAGAAATGAGATCTGTTTAATTTAAATACCTTAAATGGGTGTCTGTGCTATTCTTACCCCAGGGTTAATTGAAATAACTTGGTACATGGCAAAATTCAGACAAGAGTCCTGCTCCGATGGGAATCTCCCCCCTCCTCGTGCCCGCCCCTTCCAAGATACACATTTTAATCCATTAAGATGCTAGAATTTTAACTCTTCAGTCATTGGATTATTTATATTAAGTCAACATTGTGCGAGTACCTCAGGGACATAAATGAGCTGGAGGTGCAAATAGATTCCAAAAGGGTGCAACAGACACAGTGGATTTCCCTGCCTCTTGTTTTTGTATATTTTTGCTACTTGGTTTTGCTTTTGTCCTAGCTAGTTTGTGCTCTGTCTCCATCGTCTAAGATTCAGTGTCCTGTACTAGCCTAATATTCCCTTAACCAAAGTAATGGGGAAAAAACAACATTATTTTTGTTTTAGGTTTATTTATATACTATATACTGCATACAGTACTTTAAATACCAATTACAGTGCAATCTTTTATTTATTGTAAAAAAAAATAAAAAATAAAAAGTGTACTTATGTACTAATCCCCCTTCCCACCCTCCCCGTAGCATGTTATATTTTGTCTGTTTTATACTGTTGTACTTTAGGTCAACTTTTTACCTGGCAGCATTCCTAGTATTATTAATCTTCTTACATTTTCTTGTGTTTTTGAAGATGGGAGCATCTAGTACATTAAATGCCAAAAAAACATTATCAGTGATTCAAACGTTTACATGTATCCAAAAACATAATCATCTCTGGAAAGAAAGTGCTAAGATCAATGAATTATTCTGTGTGCCTCTCTAGATGTAGCAAATATTAGAAATGTTCTGTATTTTGTTATTGACTATCATTAGTTTAATGTAGCCTTGCGAACTAATGGCATTGAGCTAAATATATATATTTTTTTGGTTTTGCCAAAGTCATGGCTTGTCAAATTTATTTACATCTTATTTAAATTTATTTGTGATATGAAACTTTGTGACCTTGCATCTGTATTTTGTGAGCAACGCATATACAGCCATCTTCAATGGAGGGGAAAAGAGTGTATTTTTTAAAGCAACGAAAAGACCGCTAGTTTGGAAACCCAGAAATTTGAATAGATTCCCTTTTTTTTATTTTTGGAATATTGTTTCAGCAGTGCTGCTATGAAATCCAAGCTTGACACCTTTTTAAAAAAACCTGCTTTAATAAAAAAAAAAAAGAAAAAAAAAAAAGCCACCTTGCTTCAGATGATTTGATCAATTTTGAAAGTTGGAAATACAAATGACACTAAAAGCAGCAAGCAGAAGTGTAGAGGAAAGCAATCGGCTCCACTTGAAGCATTCCTGTCCTTGCTAATTTGTGCGGTGTCCCTTCTAGTCACGCTAACGAGAAGGCCCAGTCCGGCCCCGCGGTTAGCAGGGAGAGTATCCCGTAGGAGCTGGGACAGGCCCTAAAGAAGTTAATTTGACATTCTTTTAGTTTGTATATTCTGCCATAGTGATTTGATTGTCACTCCTCTATTAACAAAAAAATAAAGCCTCGCGGATGTTAAACCGTTCCTACCTGATGCCCCTTCGCGCTGACCCACCGTTCGCCGATGCCGTGTCTTTTCCCACGCATCTTCCCAGCATCAGGCGTCGGACCCAACCCGAGGGCGCTCTGCGCTCCAAGAAATGATCAACAACAACAACACCGAAAAAGGTAGAATGAAACACTAAATATTTAAAACCCTTAAGGAAGGAGAGAGATGTTTTTACATTGTTCTGCCTTTTTCTCTATGAACTTGAAACGTTTTTCTAATCCTGTTTGTTGGCTACAGTAGCTCAGTATTCAGTGTCATGATTGAAAAGTGCCCTAACTGAATGTGTATGAACCTTATCCTTGCACAGTTCTTTAAATTGAAAAAAATAAAATGTTTTTACCTCACTATGGGAACATACATTCCAAGCTTTTCAACTTAAAAAAAAAAAAATAATCATAAGTTTTCTTGTATTGTAAATTTTAGACTATTTCATATGCATTGTATTAAAACTGCCATATCAATTTTAATGTATAGATTTTGCAAATACTACCCGATGTATGTAAGACTTAACTGTATCTGTAGTGTATATGTAATATATTTATGCCCAATAAATGTTTTAATTCTTTCTGATATTACCAGGAGTTTTCTTACTGGAACGCAGCCCTCGCAGCCCGCCCGGCCCCGCGCTGGCAGGTCGGCGGCGTGGCCGCAGCCTGAAGCAGGCGTGGGAGCCCCGAACTGAACGCGGGATGTTTCTGATTTGTCGTGGGAAGGATTTTCTGTTACTCGTGAAGCGTTTGCTGGTGCAGTCCAGCAGCTTACGGCGTAATCCCTTCTTAGACTGGGCTAAATACGCTGCAGGTTGCGAGTCCGCCCCCGGGAAAGGTGGAGTTCGGCCAGGCCGTTACCCGTACCGTGCATCCGAAGGCTGCTGATGTTTTGGCCTAAGCATCATCCAGGTGAATGCCAAACTCCTTCCCACGTGAGCGGGTTTCTGTGGCCCTCCGTCTCCTCGTCCGCGGGAAATGGCGCTCCTCTCCCCGGGGCTGGCCGGCTTCGGCGGTGGCCGTGAGCCCTGGCGCTGCCCCGCGGTGTGCTTCCCTCGGCAGGCCTCCTTGCAGGCAGCAGCAGGTTATAGAAAGAATCTTAAAAGTTGGGTTTCTGCAGTGTTTTGATCACTTCTTTTAAATAGCTTGCGTGAAAATTTAAGGGGGGGTTAAAAAATACCTAGATTTGTTATCTCTTTGTAAGTAAACACTTGAAATATCAGAACTTTTCGCTTATTTGTTAATTATGCGCAATGAATTCAATTACTCATCATAAAGAATTAATCTAGTATGTATGCATGTTTCTTGACAAACACATTAATGTTTGTTTTTTAAACAGCTTTCCTTCTTCAAATCACTGCCTGGATGCAGCATTTTATTTGTTTGCTTTTTTAATTACTGCAATTTACACCCTGAGTGGGTTTCTCCTAAGGAAATACAGTAATTTTTTTGTCACTTGGTTGCTCAGCTAGTTTTTTTTTTTTAAACAGTGCTTGCCAAAACAATCTCTCTTTAACAAAATACTTCAAATATGTTTATAGAAGAGTAATGAGCGCTTCGGTATCTGAAGAGATCTTTTATTTCCAGTCGTCCCTGGTTTCCAGCATCGCCCCGGGTGCCTGCAGAGGTGACGGAGGACGGTGACAGCCCATGGGAGTGCGGGAGGGCTTAGGTGTTTGCTGTTGGAGCTCTAAATGTTACCTTGCCGTCTTACAGCCCCCAGGGCTGGCGCGGAGGTGCTGGGTCCCGTTCCCGCACCCAGGCTAGGCAGCGGCGGGGTAAGTAGCACCCAGTTGCCAGTGGGTTTTGTTCCACAAAGAAATACGGAGCGAGTTGTAACCGGGCTTGGGCAATGGTGTATTTAACATCTCTTCCCTGCTGACGCCTGTTGGGAGAAAAGTATCTGCTTCGAGAAGTTTTGAAACAAGAGCGTGGGCTCGTATTTTTAGATGTTTTCGTGGCCTTACAAACGACCTGTAGGCTGGTACGGCAGTTGGACGTGGACCATGGCACCCCTCGCAATTTGAGCAATCTCCAGGTCTGCCTGCGGCAAAGCGTGGTCACCAGGTTGGTGGCTGTTGTTTCTATAGCAGCAGCAATTCTCTCTCTTCTCTGTAATCAAAGAGCCTGTTCAAAAACAAAAAGGGTAAAATTTGTTTTGCTTCTGACTTCAGCCACTGTTGCAAGTTCGGAGCGTGTTTGGTTTGGTGGAGAGTTGAGCCCCCTTTCAAGGGGGGTCTCTGTACCAGAAACCCATGTACCGAAGCAAGACGCGGTGCGATCCGAGCCACCCGCTCCCCCGGACAAATAAGAAAGCAAATGGGATCCGGAGGTAGCGTCACTCCGCTATACCATGGTGTTCATCTCCTGCGGAGCTTTTCCTGCCAGACTCCTTCAAGCCTTCAAATTTTAGATGCTGAAATTCAGCCTCCTATAAATAGTGCTTGCTCGAAGGGAGGTAGATCTTAACTCCAGCCTTTGTGTCAGGGGACCGAGGCTCTCCTGCCTCTCCCTCCCGTCTTGATACACAGCAGGGGTATTTGAAAACAGCCCTGAAAATGAAATACTTTGGGAGCTCTGGCTAAGAGCCCTCCTGGGTGAGCTGTATACAACAGCATCGCCTGAGCTGCTCCTCCGGCACGGCCTGTGTTCTCCGCCAGGCGGGAGCCCGTCGTGGTGGTGGAGGCTCGGCGTTTAGTTGTCGTGGCTGTGGACGGAGTAACGCTGTTGTGATGTGCTTGGCATCCGTGGGGAAAGAGCGGCTCCTCCTCCCGCGTGGGGCAGGGAATGGGATGGGGGAAGGTCCGTCCAGAGTCGTGAGTGAATGGAAGAAGCAGCCCCAGCCTGTGTCCGTCTCTAACTGGTGACTGAAACCACCGATCTTCAATGGCCCCAGGGTAATTTTG